GTCCCATTGTTTTCTCCTCCAGCTTGTTTATCCCACCTATCTTATCTACATAGACCTGCAGAGATAATAATATGCACAAAAAACAAGACAGAACAAAACAAAGCAACAAAAAATGACATAAAAAGATAAGCCTATAACTAGTTCAAGGTCTGTTTGTCGAGTGTTTCCTGGTCCAGTTTGATGGGGTGCCACACTTGGCCCAACAGTCTATTTTTGCTATTCCCTGCGGACTTCATTGCTCTATTCCCCTTGCTGTTCTGTTGCACACCATGAGTGTTGTGGAAGTCAGATGGGGCACAATTCCCACACTGTGTCTCCAGTGTTGTCCCCCATAGTGCTATGGGTCAGCAAGGGACATCATGTCTCGTAGTGGGGCCGGCCCTTTGGTCCTCTCTGTGCTTTGGCTGCTCTGAGTGGGAATATTGTCCTCAGGGATTGGTGGGCCAGCATGTGTTCCACTCTCTCTTCCTCTCCCATGTGCTCTGATCAGACATGTTCCTCTCCCTGTAGCTTTAGTGCTGTCCACATAGTTGGGATTGGGGAGATTGATTCTTTTCAACAGAGACATATTTTGTCTAGGAATATTATTTCCCCCAAAGATAGCCATTTTTGTGTTCTTCTTGAAACATGAAAACCTCTCACTCTATTGGTTTTTGATAAAAAATGTAGACACAGAAACATTTCTCTACTATATGAAAAGTGAGCAAATACACCGCAATCCTTTGTTCCTTTTTGAACCTGCTCTAGCTTCTGGTTCTTTCCATTTGCTGTGCCTGATTCTCCTTCAGATTCTTACAAGCTCCATAACTCCCTTTAGATCTTTGGTCAAAACCCACGTCCTAAGTGGGGCCACTTCATGCTACTTCAGTCGCATTCTAAATGTCACACTCCGGCTCTATGTCCTTCTTTTCTGAGCACTTATCACTAGCACAGCAAGCACTGTTTATCTTGTCTAGTGCCTGTTTCCCCCGTGGAATGTACGCTGTACATGGGTTACTGCCTCTTTTATTTACTAGTGTAGTTTCAGGGTTTTAACCAATAGTTGGCATACAGCAGACACTCAAAAATATTTATCAAATGAAAAAGTACATTAATTAACAGGCTCACATTCTGACTCTCTTCTCAATAATAGGATAACTGCTTGTAGTCCGGCTGTATATCAGCTAAATCCCCACTAATTCAAAAGAAGTCAAAGTGAATTAGTAATGCAAACCGTCTCAATTTGCAAGTAATAGCTTTGGTTTTTAAAAAGCAGTAGGAACCTGAAATCACATTGTTGCTTACCAATGTATAATCCCCTCAAGCCAAACTCACTGCCATCGAGTCAATTCTGACTCAGAGTGACCCAACAGGACAGGGTAGAACTGCCCCTGTGGGCTTCTGAGAATGTAAATATGTATGGAAGCAGAAGGCTCCTCTTCCAACCACAGAATGGCTGGTGGTTTCAAACTGCTGACCTTGTGGTTACGCATAATACACCATCTTAAATTTTTAATCTGTAACTACATTAACTCTGTTAATCATTCATTCAAAAATCATTCATTACTGTTTACTAATAAGATATAGGGCCCCAATCATTAGTAAGCTTGTCCTTTGAGACGAAGCCAATATCTTCTATGTAAATCTTACATATATACAGATAAAGAAAAATGATTGGACAGTTACATTTTCCATGTTTTATTTTGTTTGTTTTTTTAATTTCTGTAGTATTGCTTTTATGTATAGAACTGTATGTATGAGGGTAATCAGTGACCTTGAAATGTAAAGGAAGAAGTAAAAGCCAATTTCCATTTTAAAATTCATTTCCCTGTACCTCACTGTTATACAAAGTTAGTAAAACAGGTCTCTACCGAGTTTTCAGAGTATGCGGTGCCACTTGTCCAAGTGCACAGTATTTTACTGTTCTCGCAACATCTTCTGAGTAGTTTCCTCAGCAGAGAACAATTTTGACTGGCAGCTTTTCTCAGATTTAGTGTATGACGGCAATCTCACAGAGTATCAGGCTTGTGTCGCATGTGTGCTAGCCCTCTCCTCTGACTCGCCTGTTCCTACCCCACTATCCCAATAGTGTAGATCAGGAAAAAGATCACTTGACAATTTAAATGACCAATTCCTGACACACTAGCTAATGCCATGCTCACTTGATTCAGTTTGGTTGACTGTAATGTTTCCCGTTTTCTTCTTTTTCATTTATTACTTTTTCTATTCAATTTTCCTCCTCCTTTTTCTCATAAGGTCTCCCAACAGAAAAAGAATGAAGCAGGAGCTACGGTGAAAAGCAAGTGTCCAAGAAACTCGCGAACTCCTTCCATGCCTTGTGCTCTGTGAAGGTACTGTTGCAGGTGAAAAGAAGTATTTGCACTGTTACCAGCTTGCTCTGTGGCAAGTTATTTCCTTTCCTTTT